AGATAAGTTTCCTTGAAAGATATCAAGGAAAATAGCATCATAAGATAATATATTTCTCCATTAGGAGAAGAACGAACTCGAATAAGATTTAGTTCGTTAGATGTTATCTATTACCCATATATAGGATATATACTTCTAAAACAATATGATTGTCAATTGAGAAGATCTTCCAATATTTTCATGACTCCATAAGATGTAGTTGGAAAGAAAGACAAATCTTAAGCATGTTAAAGATTTGGGGTTGTGTGCTAACAAGCAATATTTGTTTGATAACAATCTTGTAGGATATCCTTAAAATAACTTTTGGATATCGCTTCTATAAACCAACTAACAAATGTTGTTTTGTTGGGTAGTTCATTGTAATTCTACAATGTGATTTGCCTAAAAGCAAATGAACGAGAGATAGAACTCAAAGAATGGGTTCTTTGAGAGACAAGAAAGTAATCAACAAATATAACAACCTAGTTCCTATACCACAAGCTCCAAGGTAGTCGATAAGGATTTATAAACCGTCTCAGTTGAATGGTTTTTTGAACTTTATGACTACATTGAGTGTATATATGATGTATACTCAAGGAAATGGTAAAGTACCATTTGACTCGAAATAATGAAACCTTCAAAGCTAATTGGTAGCTTAAGGTGACTACAATCAAAGAGAATGGTTGACTTTGAAGGAACCATTTTTTGACGTAGTCTTAGTTTCAATTAATTCGAAGATTGCTAGCTACAACTAAATGGTGATTCAATGTTTTGACATAATATGGGTTTCCGAAACCATTATTAAGATAGTCTTGATAATATATGTCTAAAACTATAAATCACAAGACATGTAAGTTGTAGAGATCCATCCATCATGGATCTTAGCAAGTTAGTGGGAGCTATTTGCATTTTATGAGAAAAGGATCAAATCGTTTGATTTCTCATAAAGATGTAAATGAATCTTTTGTTTACTAGTTTTACAAAAGATTAGTGGGAGTTAATCATGTTCCTAAAATTTAAATATATATGATGATATATTAATTTTGGAAATGAAAAAGAATACTTCTTCGTTAAAGTTATGACTTTAATACATTATATGAAGATAGAATGTATATGGGAGATATAGTCTATATACATGGGATGGAAATCTATAATGATATATTTCATGATATAATTGGATTATATCAATCCCTAATAATAGACAATGGATGCTAGGAAGTTTCTCATATGATGATAAACTTCAATAGAAGGACGATTCTAGTGAGACTAGTAAGTTGCCCTTCTCAAAGGGAACGTGCCCCTTTGACTCCCAAAGAAATAATGCGTAAATAGAATCCTTTATGCATACGCAGAAAGGTGATTTATGTATTTCATATTGTATGAAAAACATTGATATGAGTTGTACCTAGAACGGTACAAGACGATATCAGTGCAAGCCCAGGATCAGAACCATGGCAACTGTCAAGTGAGTCCTTAAGTATTTGAGAAATACTAAAGGATAAATTCCTCAAAGATTGAGGAAGAATTAGAGTAACGTAATGGAAGCGTAAATGTATTAGATTATGAATCTAATCCATCATTGGATGTTTCTTCATTATGAATGAAGAGATAAACGGATATCTCTTTATTATGACTAAAGAGATATTTGGATGGAAACATTAAAGTAATGACTTTAGTGTGTTCCATTATGAATGCAAGATATATTGCCATATAGAAGTTTACAACAATGTTGTTTGGATGGGAAAGTTCATTTATGAACTCTCTATTCGGTTCCAACCAGAAAGTGTATGACACTAATGGGGCGATAGCTCAAGCCTGGGCCTGGAATCAAGGTCTCATCAAGATCCGAACACAAATGAGAGACTGAACCACATGATTGAGAATCATGTATAATGGTGACGTCGTTATTCTCAAGGTTGCTTCTGTGGATAACACATATAGATATCCACTGTCTAGGCCTACTATTCAGCCATTTATGAAATGACTACAGAAGAGGATATCATCATTAATGATCAAGCTGATTGGCTCTAGTGCAAGTGGGAGATTGTTGGAAATGTGCCCTAAAGCCAATCATGTGATGATACTTTACGGACATTTCACATGTTAAACTAATCTAGTTTAATATAAAGGGCATACATTATTGTTTGAGCCGTCTCATATAAATGTTATATGCTTAAACGATAAAGTCCAAGGAATATGTGATTGGGAGAATGTAATCTAATGAAGTTAGATTCATGAGACCATTCTTTCGTAGACACATCCTAAACGTTCCTGATCATAGGATTGCCAATTGGGCGTTGACAGTCCGTTAAGATCAGTACGTACGTACTATGTCTTCTCTCAGGGAGAGTGATTAGTCTCGAATCATTGGTGTGTGTGACATCAAGACAAGTACGGTAGGTGCTCAATAGAGAATGAGTTCACTGAACGCGATCAACGAAGAGTTCTCATATTCCATGTCACATGAGAACTCATGGTTGGGATAATGCAAAGTAGTCCTTTGACCTGAGGCATCATAGTTGTCTTGTGGTTAAGACCTTGATCTTTGATTATGTCAAAGTCATCCCACCAGGAGGGTGTCCACGGCATCGTTGGGGTCAAGCCGCTTAGCTATGGAGACAAGTGAATGCGCAACAAGGGATCTCTAACCTTCAAACCGTTTGAGGGAGAATACTCTCTGATATGATTTGAATCTCTGGCCAGAGTATGAATGAGATTTGGGAATGCGTTCCTAATCACATTCAAGGTAATCATATAAGCACAAGACACACATTGGATAGTAGACATGAGAAAATAAACTATCAAACCAAACAATGTGGTCAAGAGTATTAGATTAGAGAAGGACCGTATTGCATTTGTAATCCCAGACTGAATAGGTTCTCCACCTCTTCTGATTAGCTTGGGTAACCATGACATACGGCTAGGTGTCACTCATGGTTTGTGGAAGCCCTAAACGTGTGTAATCACTAAAGGGAGAATTGAAAATAGTTTCAATTCACAATCGATGTAAAATGGTTTTAATCGCCCACTACCTCGCTAAAAGGAACCTAATGGATCGTACACCGTGTAAGGTAGAGATGGACGAAATAAATGAAATGAGTAAGATTAATTGAATGGTTTAATTATTTATGGCAAGGATTAATTAATATGTTAATTAATCAAACGAATAAGTTCGTTAAAGACCACGGGATAGTTTTGGACCTTAAGGCCCAATGGGCTTCGAACGTCAAGCCCATTAACTTAAGTTGTATGACAATTTAATGAATAAAGATTCATTAAAGCCCAAAAGCCCAAAAATCCCTAAATGGCCGGCCATAAGGAATGAATTAGGGTTTTGGTTATTTAAGTCACTTAAAGAAGTGACTATATAAATGACTTTATAGCCAAATATTCATTAAGTGAAATAAGGGTTTATTTTTGGGGAAAATGGGTGAGAATTGTCTCTCCATTTTCTCTCTAAAGAGGCCAACACCTTGGAGGTGATTAGCTAGTCATCTAATCCTCCAAGGTCACTCATTCATCATCCAATCTCTCCTTGGTGTAGAGACTTAGAGGTTCTCAATTTTGGGAACTTGGAGAACCTATTCTTCCATCCAAATCCATGGATCTAAGAAGCAAGGAATGAAGGCCCTATCTCTTTGGGTGATTAGCCTTTGCTTATGCAAAGAGGAATCTACAAAGGTATTAATTTCAACTCACTTATTTTTGAGTTGATTATTGGTTCACCAATCTACTAGGCTTTGAATTTCATGGTCATGTTTTGTTTTTGAGTACATACAAGCATGATTCCGCCTTTTAATTGTTAATTGCATGCTATATGATGTTGCTCAAATGAACATGTTTTACAAAATAATCCCTTCATAATGGACCATAAAATTTAAAGTGGTTAAGGAAAACTATATTATATTAGCTATAGAAATTATCTATTCTAAAGTAGGGGGAGGGCAGGCACTATTCACGTTTGTTTTGATTTTGCTTTATTTACAACAATGCCAGCCGAATGTGGCTGGGTTGGGGGGTAATTCTCAAAATTCAGAGGGTGATTTTGTCTTTTGAGGTCAATTCCTCCCCCCTCGATTTTGCTTTATTTACAACAAAACCGTGGGATTTGGGACTGGGTTGGAACGTAGTTATTAAAAGTTAGGAGGGTAATTTTGTCTTGTGCATTTGAGACGGATTGGGGTGGGTTTGGGTTTGCTGTCATTCAGTGCAGGTTTCGGGGATGGCAGGCCATGCCTCCGATAGAGAGAGAGACAGAGCGAGAGAGAGGGAGAGGGAGGAGTGGGGATCTCAGTGCCATTGCTGCAAATCCTCAATTTCATGAGTGGGAGAGGGGGGACAGTCAGAGAAAAGTATGGGGGTACTCCGATCTCTCTCTCTCTCTCCTCCGTTTCTCTCTCTTAATTTCCTTTTGGTTTTGGAAATCTCTGACCTTTGGGTGAGTTTGAGATTATTGATGATGAGAAAAGTATGGAGGTCTGACCTTTTGGTTTGGGTATGCTTTCATTCCTCAATTTTCTCCATCCGAGCAATGAAAAATCGAACTGGGTTTTCAGATTATCGATGCACAGGGATTCACGGACAGAGAAGGGAGAGATAGAGAGTTGATTGAGGGAGTTGGTGAGTATGGGCTTGCACAGAGGGAAGATCAAAACAAACGTGAAAAGCGCCTGCCCTCCCTCCGAAGTGGGAAATGGCGAGCGCAGTGGACCCAATTTCATGGCAGGTTGGTTTAAAGCAATTCCAAAATTTGGGATCGTTTCGTATATTTTTAGGTTTTTCAATTTTTCTGATTCATTATATTTTATTTTTTATTGAATTCAGGTAACCATCTTCAATTTTTCGATTTGATTTAAAGGAATTTTTTAGGCAGAAAAGCTAGGGCTTTCCGGTGAGTTCTTCGGGTTATACATCCGGGTGGCTTTAATTTGTTTAAATTTGGGGCTTTTGTGATTTGGGACTTATAAATGGTTTGAAATTTACGTTTTTCAAATTTCAGTTCCCACTCATAAGTTTGTACTGCCTCATCATTAGAACTGTTTCCTTTTGCTCTTCTTCTCAAAACAAGGTCGCAGATCCACAGGCCATCAAGGTATGTCATTTAATTATATATTGTATATGTATGTATTGTATTATGCATGTGTGTGAATGTGTTTTTCTCTGTTAATCTGTATTGGTTTTCTTCTGATTTAGTTAATGGACTTTGTTTTTATTTCAGATAATTTGGTTCATGCTAAAGTTATTGAACGTACGATGGAACCAGTGATCTTTCAAAAAGGTTGGTTCTTCTATATTTTTATCCTTTTGGTCGTTTTGAATGGACTTCCTGTATTCTGAATGAAGCTACATTGAATAGCGGTTTTTCGTATACTGTATTTTCTTTTGTTAAATTAGTTCTTTTTTTTTGTTGAAAAATGTTATTTGGTTTTGCAGATCAAAGTTTTTCAGCAAGAAAATTATCTGTCAAATTAAATTTATTGTTATAATTCTACATGTTCTTGGTTTGCATTTATTTTACTTGATTGTGTTAGTGGTTGCTTTTGTTTTCACCCAGCTACCAAAACTTTGCCTACACTGTCCATCTCTGTTCTCCGTCGTCCGTTACTGTAAGTCCCTTTTTCTTTTTCGAGATTTTTCAATCATTTTATGTTTCATTTTCTGAAATCTTCATGTTTCTGTACATATATATATATATATATATATATATATATATATATATATATATATGTATGTGTAAATATTGTTAGATATGGGACTGTAAGCAGTAGTGGATTAGTGTCAAATTGCACTTAATTAGTGGTTGGGGTGTAAGTAATGTGCTTATGCGTACCTGTTTCTTAGTTTTAATTTAAGTTTTCTGCATTTAAAGAGTGGTTAAAGAAAAGTTTTATGTAATTGATTTTCTGCTATAATGTTTTGCATTCTTTAGTTATATAGTTCTACATGTTCTTGGTTTGCATTTATTTTACTTGATTGTATTAGTGGTTGCTTTTGTTTTCACCCAGCTACGAAAACTTTTCCTACACTGTCCTACACTGTCCATCTCTGTTCTCCGCCGTCTGTCACTGTAAGTCCTTTTTCTTTTTCGAGAATTTTCAATCCTTTTATGTTTCATCTTCTGAAATCTTCATTTTCAATGCATATGCAAATCTGTGCTGAAATTCCTCTCTAGGGATTTTCATTTGTAGTAGGATTGAATCGTTTAAATTCATCTTTATCATTGTATGAGAGTGGCCATGTTTTATTTTGTTGTCATCTTTCTTGATATCCTAATTGATTTGACTGGGTTAATATGCACTTAGTAATGCATTCTGGCAGCAGTATGCATGTTAATTCAACCGAAGAGTTAAGGTTCTATCACACAACAGGAAACTGGATTGATACCTACTACCTGGCTATCAGTAAATGCTTAATAACAAATTTATACAGATTATAAAGGTTCATGCATTCACAATCTCATTTTAAACTTGAAGGTAGTTAAGCTGAATATACTGAAAGATAGAGATGTGCGCACCGCTTTCATCATTTCAGTTATGAGAAAAATGTTTGAAAATAAAATATATTAATTTTTGGTTCTAATTATTTAATCCACATGAGAGCTATTGCCTTAAGGTCATGAGTTTTTTGTTGTAATTGGCGTTTCTTATTGGTCAACACAATACAAGCTTTACCAGAGCACTAGCTAATACTTTACTAGACTAAAGTAGAATGATTGTGTTTTCCAATTTGTCTGATTGTAATCAATCAATAATTTATTAAGCCAGTAGACTAAAGTAGAATGATTGTGTCTTCCAATTCACCAAAGCACTAGCAAACAATCAACTAAATCCCGATTTGTTTGCAGCGTGTCAGCAATGAATTAAAACATTTTATGGTGGATAATCAATTGGAAACAGCTTCAAATGGGAAGTTGGGCTGAGTTGGCACTTGATTGGGTTTTAGACTGAGAGAGTAATCTGGTACAATAGAGCCGATACTAACATCTGGTTCTGTCTAGACTCTAAATCACATCTTTAGTCGTCACATTTGAAACTTTGAATTCTTGAGTTTATATAAATTTTAATTCTCATTAGTTAATGCTTAACATTTGGCCTTTTGTTTAGAATAAAATCATTCCAATTTTTTGGTGTCTTTTTAGGTGGGATTTGGGATATGGTATACATTTGGCCTATGTGAGTGATCCCTGCTACAGGAATGGACCTCTGTTAAATTTGATTTTCCTAAGCATTTTCTTTTGTTTAATGTCAAAACTATTTATGTTATATTTATAAGCAAGTGTTTATATTAGGAGGTTGTATGTTGACTAAGCTTTTAAGTTAGAAGGTGGAGGTGTCTTTAAGGTTTAATACAATAGATAAGTGGGTTAGATTTCTCAACTTTTAAATTTCTCAACTTTTAAATTGAATGTACCACTGATGTGGGTTTTCGACCTTCTATTGGATTTACCACTGGGTTAAAAATTCTAAAGAAATGCATGAACTTGGTGGTTCTAATGATGTGTTCTGCTGTTCGGGTTGGGTATTGGCAATGTGGGTCAGATCCCATTTTCTGTGACACTGCAGGTTTCCGCCTTCGGGATTTGTGAAACAGGAAAAACGAATTTTGGGTGTCTGAGTCCATGGCCATAAAAACCGAATCTTTCAACAGATTTATAGACCTCTGCAGAGTTATGATTAACAGAGACTTCGTGGAGTACAGTATTTGAGTCTGGTTTTGGCTAAATGTAAACATTGTAATACATTGTTAAGGAGATACCTTGAATTTTCCCTTATCTGGACAGTACTGAAAACAGTAATGTGAAACCATCTTAGTTTACGTTCCATTGTTGGAGGAAACTCTATACAACTTTTGATTTGCCAAATAATGTGCATGCTGTGTATATGCTTTATAGTGCATATAAGCATATCAATAATTCTTGGGGATGGATGGAGGGTTGTGTGGGTATGCTAGGATGATAGCATACTTTATAAGAGTGTTAGCTTCAAAACTGAGTTGCTATGGTGCTTCTTGGATTTCAGAACATTGGCTATGCTCTATGGTACACCAGCCTATACAATGTTATACGGAATAGGACCAAAATATTTACTTTTTGAAAGCGCTAATGAGCAAGAAAACGGAAATCTGTTATTGAAATGCAAGCATGTTCAATTTAATGTTTGTTAAAAGACCTTTTTTTTAATATGGTTTCTTCGGAGTTTCTTTTTCATTCAATGATGTAAATAATTTTCATCTTAATTTGTTTGTTTAATATAGGTAAGGGTGTTGTGCGAGAAGGCCAAGGAAATATTAATGGAAGAAAGCAATGTCCAGGTGGGCCTTTATAGTTGCAAGTTTCTGTTTCATGTCTTTCTTTGTATTGTTTCGTACAGGTTTTGGACCTATAAAGATTTGGGCATGTCATGAGGTAAATGAATAACCATTTTGGGTTTTATGTGTTGCAGCCTGTAAAAAGCCCTTTAACTATCTGTGGTGATATTCATGGACAATTCCATGATCTGGCGGAGCTTTTCCGCATTGGAGGAAAGGCATTGTTCTGATTTGGGCTATTTAATTTATCGTATGTGTTCTTCAAGGTTGTTAATTGGTTGCTACCAAGGAAGAAAATATCGATAATATCGGCGATATATCGCCGATATTATCGATTTTTCGCGTAATGGATATTTAAATAGATATCCGAATGGTTTTCGTCAAAATATCTCGATATTATCGATAATATCGTGATATTTTCGATAATATCGCTATATTTTGGTTTCTCGACACTCACAACCTCGCCGGAGAATCGGAATAACTCCGAGCAAGAACGAAACCTGCAACCAAACGGAACAAGTATCCTACTTTTCGGATACGTTCGAAACTAAAATAGGAAATAGGAGGATAATCAGAAGAAAAATAAAAAATATTCACAATAAATCCGCACAGAATCGTGATTGATCGAAGTTAGCTAACTGAAATCACTCTAAAATTGGAGGATAATCAGAAGAAAAAAAAAATCGGATTTACATCTAGAACCTCAGAAATCACTTTGCTTGGGTTGGGAGACTTTCACGAATCAGACCGTCATCTGCAACCGTTCCGTCGTAGCCATCTGCAACTGCGCCGTCGTCGCCATCTGCAACTGCGCCGTCGTCTCCATCTTCTTCGTCTACAACTGCTCCGTCGTCTCCTTCGTCTCTGTTTGCAATTCCTGGTGAGTGGTGACTGGTGAGCTTTCGTTTTCACTTTGTTAATATTGAAACTGTGAAATCGAAACCCATCTCTGAAACTGAAACTAAAACCCGTCTCTGATTCCCCGAGGACATCACAAGACCCATCTCTGAAACAGTGAAACCCATCTCTGAAAGAAAGTGAAACTGAAACCCATCTCTGTCTTTTGCTTTTCTTGAAACTAATATTATATACATACCACTACCCACAATAATATATTATAATACCCATTCCACTCCCCCATAATCCATTCCAATCTGATGAAGTTGCTTTTCTGTATCTGATGAAGGCCATCCATTTATATTTTTAAAAGTTTAGGATATATTTTATATATATATAAATGTTATATAAATTATAAATTATTTAGATAATATTTTGTTTTTTTTTACTAAGCAAGCAGATTATATTCGAACTCTCCCTTTGTCAACGACGCACCTGGGCTTTATCCAACTCGCTACAGATGTGTTTGTGATTACATATTCAGCCTGTAATATTTATATGGTCGTTAAGATGTCTGCAAGGCTTGCAAACTAATATTTATTATCTAGGATAAATTTCTATATTTTAAAAAACACCAAGGTGAAAATTTTGAACCTCATACGAACTCTATGTGGTACTAAGTCACTCATGTATCTTACCATGCAATGTATAAAGTGTAAAATATTGTACTAATTCATTATATATAAATGATTATGGTGTGTTTAGACTTCTTTCATTAATTACTACATATTTTCTACACTCACAATGTTTGTCAGCTCGCTATATAATCAACTTGATAATGTTAAATCCATCATGCAATGCATTTCCTTCCAATTTTTTGTGATAAACTAATAGATAATTGACTAAATAAACATCCTGCAAATTTTCAATAAAAATTTCCAAGTTTTTCTTACAATTTCCGTGGTTTCCATGTAATTTTTATCGATATCGATATTATCCCGATATTTCCATCGATATTTCCATGTTTTCGGACTACCGATATTTCCGATATTACCGATATTTTTTTCCTTGGTTGCTACTTATTGGTGATGTTTTCTTTTTCTTATTTTGTAGTTTTCTGGTTTGTTCTGTTGGATGTTTCACTTTCCAAAAATAACATTAATTTCCTGTTGCAATTTTTTTGCAGTGCCCAGATACAAACTATTTGTTTATGGGAGATTATGTGGACCGTGGCTATTATTCAGTTGAAACAATGACTGTAAGTATTGAGTATTTTTATTTCTACTTCTTATCTTTCAATTAGTTAAGCTATAATTTTAGGGTTCTCCTTCTGGCACTAAGATAAAGGTATTTTGGAAACTCTGTGCAATGATTTGGGTTCATTATTTAGGGTTTTGATCAATGGCAAGCCCAAAAGGCCTAACTATCTGCCTCTGGAGGTATGCCAGTTCCTTTTGATTATCATATCATTCTTTCTCAGACTCTTAGTCTTATCTTTTTGGAACTCCTCTGTCTGATATCAGATTTGTGCTTCCCCATGGGGTTTCTCTTGGTGTTTTAGCTTTGTTCATTAGTTTCGCTTCAACGGTATACGAAAGCATTATCTTCAAAGCAGAGGGCATCCTTAGTTGAAAAATCAAGGCAGAAGGCTCAGGAAAGAATAAGAACTGTGACTGATATAGCTTTGCAGGTCATGAAAGGTTTAGTTTCTTTACCACATGTTGCAATAATTCTTCTTGCTCATTTGATTTACTATTGCAAGCTATGAAAAAATACCAGTATGATAATGATCTTGTGCTTGCTACATGTGGAATTTCTATAAATAAGGACTTGACTCAGGTCAAGGGCCGTGTTCTTGAGACTCCGAAGGTAAATTGTCACTTTATATATGGGCTCTGTGGAGTAGGGGGGGGGATATGCAACTTGGATATTTCAAATGAGCTCAATAGGTTGTATCGAGTGCACAAATGAGCTCAATATGGCTCATCGGTTATAGAGAATTAGAATTTGCGACTTGGATATTTCAAATGACTAACAAACAGTAATCAATTTAACTTTTCTTCCCTGTCAGTTTTCATGCTTTTTCTTTTCTTATTACTTTTAGGAGTTAATTTTTGAGATATTTTATGACTAACAAACTTGAATTTTTTGCTATTTAGTAGTGAATTTGTAGCACAGTGGAAATATGTGGAATGAGGGCGATGTCTTCTACTTGCTCATCCAAAGGTTCCAATTTTTTGCATTCTTTTGGGGTTTTTTTTTCTTAATTTTATTTATGAAATTAGATGACTAATTTTAAATAATGAGAAATTAGTTCTTCGTTGTGAAATGTTCATTTTTCGGTGTTTCTATTAAAACAATGAAATCTTAATCTTGTACCAAATGGGCTGTAATTTCATATGTTTTAATGTAAACAGTTCACTGATTATGGTTGTAGTGGGTTGGTCTGAATTGCAGGATTATTAAGGTCTGGAAAAACTAATTATGGTTGTAGTAGGTTTGTCTGAATTGCAGGATTATTAAGGTCTGGAAAAGTTTCAGCCTGAGATGGACCAACTATCTGAGGCCAAACTTGAAGAGAGGTCTTTTATCATAATATGAGGAGAAGATATGCGGGATGAAGAGGTGAGTGAGAGAAACGGTGAGGTTTTATTTTCTGATTTGGATTGTGAAATTGAGTAATTTTCTGCTTTGTGTCTTTTGAGCAGGTGTGGGATTTAGTTTCATGCCAGGGGTTGTAATGGGTGGATTGGATGTAAAATTTTCTTTTCGAATTTCAATCCCCCCTAAATCTCTTCATTCCAGCCAAACATTTGAGGATTTGGTTTTAATTGTTTGTTTGGACTTTTGAGCTTTTGACCAATTATTTGGATGCTAGGAAAATTTACATGCTATTTGGATACTAGGAATATTCATGGAACTCAAACAAGATTGTTTCATAATTTTTTTAGAAGTGTGGAATTTCGTTTCAGATGGTATTGACTATTTTTCAAAATCCTATAATCTGATTGGAGTTCTGAATTTCCATTAAGATCAATATTAGTTGTTTTTGGTTCAAGAAATTCCAACATTCTTTGTTGGTCCTTGAAATTTTCATTAGCATGGAGTATAGTGGTTTTTGGGGCAGGTTTGCATGGAAGATGAGAAGACAATCTCTGTGTCCCTCGAAACAAGTATTTTGGGAAGCTCGATGATTTGTCTATGTTTCGCGAACAGGGTTCATTTTCTAAATGTTAATATTTAGTGTATTTACACTCAGGTGTTAAGCCATACATATATAGATGTATGCATGTTCTTTGTTTTCCCCATAATTTTCATATAATTTATGAAGAATGTATACAAACGACAATGATCGAGTGGATTATGCAAGTCTCACCATATAAACTGTAAATTCTACATGATTGTTCTCCTTCCCCCTCTCAAAACACAGTTTGGGTGGATTAACTAAGATATGTGTAGTTAATCTTTTTGTTTGTCTACAAGTCATGGTTTAGAACTTTTGATGCTTGGTGACTAACAATGTAACATATAATTAATGGGGCAGGCAGTGACATAAATTTGGGCAGGGCTTGGAGAGGCAGACCCCATATGGTGTATGCCTACACCAACATGACCAAGGTGGTTAACCCTGCCGGCTGGAGCGACGATAACCACCCTGAATGTAACGATAACCACCCTGAATGTAACAAGTTAGCAGATTATGTCATTTAAAACATGATTAAGCATTTTCATATAATTAGTTTTGAGAGTTAATAATATAATTTGAAATTGCAGCAATGTGGCCTGCGAAGAGTACAAGTGCATGGGTCCAGGTTCAAGTACATATAATGAGAAATTTGAGCAAATAACTGACTGACAAACAAGTCAAGCCTTTCATTAGCCTTGGATATATTCAGGATATGGTTGCTTCCTCCTCCAAATCCAAAAGTGTAGTTATATATATATATATATATATATATATATATATATATATATATATATATTACATATGTACACTACTAATTTTGTTAGTACTAGGGAAATAGTTGATTTTTCTACGTGCACATATACATATATAGGTTCGATTAAAAAATTCTGTCAATTGAAAATGATACTTTATGTTATCATTTACTTGGTACGTGAAGATGTTTCATTTTGAAAATAAAAGATAGACTATATACTTGGAACAAAATTCTGGAGACTGTTGAAGTGTGCCTTTGGATGCTATCTTGGTTCTTAGAGACTGTTTTGCATTGCTTCTTTCCTTACTACGTTATATGATATGGACATAATTTTGTGTTTATCATTTTGGAGGTTTTCTGGACCCTTGATTTTTTAACGTGCATTTGAGCTTTTCTGTTAAATAGCGTAGAATTGAGTACATGCTGATGGTCTCAATGAAAGAAGGTCATCATATATGGTAGAAATTGGTTTGAATTTCTGATGTCGTGTGAGTGGGTTTTAAATTTTTCAAACCACTATATTATCTTTTTAGTAAGCAATGAACATTCACAGAAGATGCAGTTTGGTTTCCTGTTGAAAATTTTAGTACTAAAAAGGTCGTACCCAGTGCACAAGGCTCCCGCTTTACGCAGGGTCTGGGAGAGGTGAATGTCGGCTAGCCTTACCCCCATTTATGGAGAGGCTGCTCCCAAGTCTCGAACCCGAGACCTACCGCTCATGGGCGAAGGCACTTGCCATTTATGTTGAAAATTTTAGTACTGATACATAAAATTTGCTAAATATCGTAACTTATTTTGGTTGTGAGTTTGTTCTGTAATTTTTTTTCCTCTGCTATTAATAGCTTACCACATGTGGTAGCAGAGTGATTGCGTTGGTAGCTTATGTATACAAGCAAATTCAGAAGACACAATGAGTTTGATATTCAAAAAAATGTCTGTTGGTTTAGTTTTTTAATCTTTAAAAATTGTCGAATCAATTTGAATATGTAATTTTATGTTTATTGTTAGGTAAATTGTTGTTTTTTTCGCTGATAAAAAGTATAGAGTTTGGCTGTGTAAATGTGTATAGTTTTATACGTTTCGTTTAGTTGACAATATGATAATGGTTGAAGTGCATTCTTTAATGAAATGTGTTTTCTTTCCTCGATTGTGAATGTCTTTTTGGTATTTTGCAGATCGAAACAAAGTGAAAGCTTTTCACTGTGAATTTTACAACCGCTGCCTTGCTGCTTTGGTAAAGTCTCAACTTTTTGATAATATCATTTAATTTGGCCTGTAATGTTAGGGTATTGAGTTGAATGCATATGCTACATGGCATAGGTCTAACATGATTAGAACTTTAATATCATGATGTGTGATACTAATTAAGCACAATATGAGTATCTGTACCAAGAAAGACATGAGCATCTATCTGTTCCTATTGAGTCAAGTAAGGCATTGTATGCATAAGCACAAGTCATGACTAATTAATGTCCTATTGTTGGTGCAAGATGTTAGAAAATATTATTATTTAGATTTATTTTAATGTTTGGTATTTTGGGCTTAGCCCGTTAGTATTAGGGTTTCGTTTCCTTGCCTATTAGGGTTAGGTTAGTTTTCTATATATATGGTACTTTGTAACTCTATAGAATAATCAAGTCAGTCACAATGTAGTCTCTAGGGTTTTTGTAGCCGTCTTGGCATTCTCAATTTGTTCAATAAAATTCCTATTATTTTGTAGTCTTGTTTGTTCCGCACTCTGATATTCAACTTGGTATCAGAGCAGGTTTGATCTTTCGGGATTTAATCTGCTTGTTTGATATTCATTTGTCTATCGCCATCTGAATACGCACGTTGAATCTGCATCTCCCACCAGCATCGACACCACCTGCATATGCACCGCACAATCTCATCAGCACCCTATCCGTTTTCTGCACCCTTCAGCAGTCGCACTGTATCCGCACCAACTCGGTCTGCAATTTGGAATGGAATTGCTGCATTGTTTTACGTGATCAGGAGAACACCCCATGTAAAAAAAAGAAAGGAAAAGCAAAGCAAAGAAAAGGAAAAAACAAGAGAAAAAAGAGGAAAAAGTTTTTGAAAAAATTGTTTGAGGTTTAGGCTCATGCAGGCAAAGGCAAATAAAAAATAAAAAATTTGGTTGGATTTTTTGTTTGTTTGTTCGGAAATTGGCATCGGCATTGGCATCGGCATCAGCATCGGTATCGACATCAATCGGCATCGGCATTGGCATTGGAATCTGGAGTCTTGCATCCACATCTACTTTGGCAAACCCATGTCGTGTACCGCCATGAGTTTGACGGGGGATGTTGGAAAATATTATTATTTAGATTTATTTTAATGTTTGGTATTTTGGGCTTAGCCCGTTAGTATTAGGGTTTCGTTTCCTTGCCTATTAGGGTTAGGTTAGTTTTCTATATATATGGTACTTTGTAACTCTATAGAATAATCAAGTCAGTCACAATGTAGTCTCTAGGGTTTTTGTAGCCGTCTTGGCATTCTCAATTTGTTCAATAAAATTCCTATTATTTTGTAGTCTTGTTTGTTCCGCACTCTGATATTCAACTCAAGATACCATTTTTAGACCTTATATCATTTGGAGCTTTAGTTATATAACAAGTTGGTGCACTGAGTTGAATAAATGGTTGATAGGTTTGGTTTCATATTTATTGGAAAAGGAAAAATGGAGACATGGGAACACAATTATATATAGCATTGCTTATTTTTCTTGAAAGTCAAAGATGTGCCGATGGTGTTGAGGAGAATACCTAATTTAGTTTGACTGTTCTCATTTCTTTGAGTTTTGTAATTGCATTTTTAAAGCCAACATAGTTATCTAAGTTTGTTAGAATTTATGGTATTTTTTTAACAAGTTTTAAAAGATCCTGGTCATTCCGGTTAATTAAAGGTTTAAGATATCCACATTCATTTAACACATGAAAATTAAGCATTTTCATAATTAAAGTTTTAAATTATCATCATTCTGTTCAAATGCACCATTTCCTTTTTGTTTCCCTTCTCTCATCTTGCAAGCACTCATGGTGTCCATTTCCTTTTAATTTTGGTTAATGCAGGTTTTGAAATTTGTGATGATCATTTTCATATTTCTATAAATTTTGAGAGAAAAAAGCATGTGAAAAAGCACATTAGTCTCTAGGTATAAAACACATTAGTCTAATTATGGCTAGGATAAAAAACCATGTGATAAACTGTGGCTTGGTTACACTGCAATTTCAATTTGGGATTTGAATTTATTTACAAAATTACGATCCTTTTTAAAATTTAGAAAAGAGCATGATAAAAGACCAATTTTCTTTACAAGAACTTGAATAAAAAGTAGGCCATGAGTGAAAACCAACCAGCAAAGATTATGGTGATTCACTAATTTAAACATAAACCAGCTTTGAGAGTTATGCTCACCCATTGTCGGTTTTCCTTGCGAGCATATTTCCTACCCAAAGTTTCCCAAACTATGTTCTCAAACCGCTGCATCGGCATATCTTTCCAACTTCTAATGGTCTTTGGTGCTAGAACATCTTCTAACTCATTCTACAAAAATTGATTCATAAGTAAAGACACCTAAAAGCAAGTAAACAGTTTAATTGAGGCAATTTAGAAGTAGAACCAAATAAGCCACTCCAACTTTCGCATACCCTTCAGCGTGATTTAATATCAGAAACTGTCTCCTGAATTCAAGTTTGCCTAGAGCTTCTAATTGTGCGCTCCCATCGTGTCTTTCTTGGTCTACAACCAAGGACCGATTAGTGAGTGCTTCAAAAAAAGATAGTTATCACAAACAAACAGTTGATCAAGATGATGTTTTTTGTGATTTGGGTTTATAGTGCTTCTAAATGCTGTTTTAATTGAGTTTTCTGTGTTTGCTCGATTCATTGTTGTGGATGCTTGATACGTTTTTTTTTCTTTCTTTCAGTTAGGAAATGGTGCCTTTCAGAGTTTGTCATTTTTGGTTGGGGTTTTTTCAAGCTGCTGTGTTAAAAAAGGTATATTATGTGTTTTTTTTTCCCTTCCTTTTGTTTGCTGTTGAGACTTTTTTTTTTTTTTTTTGGCTTTATTCTTGCTGGTTTGGGATGGTTTTTGCATCGTATTTTTTATATGAGTTTGTTGTCCCTACTCATGACTCTGCTCTTTTCCAAGCAACCTACCACACTGTATATCTGTATCTGAATTTGATTTGTTTATATAGTTTATATTTTCTTTGTGAGGAGATTTCTGTTTGCTGAATAAATGCTCAAGTAATTGGATCTTCAGGCTTAATTTAATTTTGGTTGGTTTTCATCATAATTCTTTTTGCTGCACTTGGTTTCTTAGCAACTTGGTGGAGGAATGATGTTTGAAAAAATTGCTTGGTGGAAAAGAACCATATAAGATGAAGGTTGAAGAAAGGGTGGCGTTTTCACATATAAGTCATTGACAATGTTACACTTCAAAGAAAAATAATTCGAACTAAATACTTCAAGAAAAACCCCAGTTGACTTTGTAATGAGAGAAGGGCACCAAAATCAATTTGAGCATAGCAAGTGGACAGACGAGGCTCTTGAAGTATTTTTGTATAAAAATTATAGTTGTTGGGATTTTTGCTAATTTACTGGAAAGAGGGAGTCATTAGGTGAGTGAGCTTATGGTTTATAGAGAAGAATGAAGCTTGCCTTCTTTCTTGCTTTGATAGTTTGTATGATTGTTATATGTAGGAAGGAACTAATGGAAGGAAGATTCATATTTGAGTTTGTATGTGGATACATACATTAAAAGTGGTATGGTAATTGGATTGGGGTCTGGCCAAGCTTTTGGTATGGCCATACAGTATATAGGTCTGCAACTTGGTGCTGGTGCTTTGAAAGATATAGTCGGGATATGTACATTAAAAATAGTGTCTTTATGCTGTTAACGGTCCGTTTGGTTGAACGCTATTATGTGATATGCTCTCTCTGTTTGTAAAGCAAAATAAACAGGTTGGAGTATCTTCTAATGAGCTGCTCCAATCTATAAATGGGCTCCTGCAGTTTTTTTAATTACTCTGTTATTTCCATTAGTTATAGGTATCTGACTTTCTGTTTAATTTCTATATATGTCGTTCCAATGGAATCAAGTGCCAAAATTAGAATAAACATCCTTTGGTCAAGTTGGACTTTTTTCCATATAATATTTGGTTCAGGGATCCCTTATACAAACATTATCTTCTTATGTATTTCAATCAAACTTGACCCTCATGGTTTAATAAGTGTGAAAACTGTCTTAACTATACAATTGGAGCGTTATAGTTTTAGTTAGTTTATTGAATCTGTTTGTTAGCGGTTTGAATTCTCACTCTGAATCTCACTCATTTTTTGTAGTTTAGATTGGACTCTCATTACAGCATTGTAATCTGCTCTTGCTGCTGCATTTTGAATAAACACTTTGGTATGTCACTTGAACTTAAATGCATTCTTTTCCCATTCTTTCTGTTTGAGGCACCACAACTTTATGATTTTATGATTGATTGTTTGGTTTGATCTCCTTATGTTATTCGTTTAGCGTCCATAATGGCTGCCTTTGTTACATTTATGATTTATGTTTTTTGCTATACTGTCGAAGATGTCCGGTCCCAGAAAAAGTGAACCCCATGGTCTCCGTGATCGAATGCTGCACACCATGCTGCATATTTTTTTGTTTGAACATCTATGGTTGACGACTTGCCTGCTCAAACACCACTTTTTCTGTGTTTTGCTAACTGCTAAGTGAGGTATGTAGGTTGCAGAGCATATATTTTGCCGTCTTAATTGCAGGAGAAAAATATGTGTAAACTCCAGCTTGCTTCTGTTTCTTCAGTTTCATATGGAACAGACCTGGTTTTTTGCCTTTGAACAGTTGTGGTTCCAAAATTAGCTACTTGAACAAGTCTTCAACACTTTTGTTTTAAATTACCTGTTGAACTAGCTGCTTACACTGCAGGACACATATTATATGTGTGAACTAAATGTTATTTTTTGAAAACCATCTCTTCCTAATCAAACACGTACAATTTCTTCCCACTCATTGTGCAATGTGTTTATATGCCAACTCACTTAAATGTATATAAAAGCAAAACCGCTTCTTACTGGCCTCATTCGCTCATGTATCCCTTTGTTTGTTCGTAATTGTGTTGAATTTATTCAGGTTAAGTGTGTATAAAAGCAAAACCGCTTCTTATCGACCTCATTCACTCCTGTGTCTCTGTTCATTCATGATTGTGTTGAACTTATTTAGGTTAAATGTGTCTTATTCATGCAGTTACGCTTGAAACAGTGGGTCTCGCTGCAACGCGCGAGACTTATTTTCTGCCTATGGTCTGATTGACGTTGGGTTTACTCGAGTTTACAGGTTTATGTGTGCAGCAAGCAAAATCCTTTCATTCATATGAGCTTCTTGGGCCTCTTTTACCTTCACAGCTTACCTACCTGGGTCAGTAATCTTAAATTGATTCCTTCTAGCTTATTTCCGTTTGCAGCTTTTCTTTTGGCTCCAGAATACCATATGGAGACATATCATCTTTCTCTTCTCTCTCTGTCTCTGTCTTTCTCTTTATGAGCGCTGTCTTTCTTTCTTTAGTTGCGCACCATCAGGGACCGTAGTTACATCTTATCTTTTTGCTATATTTCTTTTACCTTTGAGTATTATGAGGATGGGATTTTAGACTCATCAACAACAAAAAAAATTGCTTTCATTTTATAGGAGTGAAAGATTTGATTTTTCATGCACTTATCTTTTAATTTTATTTGTTTATTTAGTTTTCCCAATATTTTGGGTGAAATTCTACCCCATGCATTTGGGTTTTAGTCTTTTCTAGGCCAGTTGCTAGAAAAAAAAGGCGTTTTAGAGAGAGAGATGACGGCTTGAAAAATTTAGTATCTTGAAGTGATAAAGCAAAGAGATTTCCAAAGCTAATCAAATTGTTATCGTCAACTTGCTCTCTTTGGATTAATTGATGTTATAATGCATTTTGAAGCTTAAATTATAGATTCCTTTTCTGTAGCAAACCTTGATTTATCAGTGTATAGAAAAAAATATCAATTCATTTCAGTTTAAATATTTCTGATAAGTTAGAGATGGTTTTATTAGTTTCAAATTATATACTACTGAAAAGTTTGACATCTGCTAAGCACGTTGAGCGTTTGTAAATTAGCCAAATTATAGGGTCATGTGCAGGTGTTCTGTTTAAAACTTCTCTTTTTCATGAGTTTTTATAAAGCTTTGTGACTTTTTTTTTGTATCTGTTGATTTCTAAATTACTATAATTAAGAACAAGATTAGTGAATTTATAATTTGCTGCTTAACTTAACACGATCCTTGAATAAAATTTGAGTCTTGGTTAAACTTAGGTCATATTTTTAAGAATCGTAAAAACTAAGGAAATTTTTTGGGTATCTCCTATTAAACTTTTGTTGGCAAATTGGTCTTTGCTAATCAATGTTATTTTTGGGTGCTAACTGTTTTGGTCTTTATAAATTTTGGTAGCGGTGATTTCTTCTACACTTATGATGTGACAACGTTGTGTAATGATTGTAGGTTTTTGAAAATTTTGAGCTTCACAAACTGTGGAAAAAGAAACAAGTTTTGCTGAAATCAATTTAAAGGCACAATAACAAATGTATAAAAAAAATCTATTGGATGATGTAATCTGGTTTGGATTTGTAAATTATGCTTTTCAATGTGGATTAATTGTTTAAGTAATTTTAGATTATGCTGATTGTCTGTTTTCTCTTCTACTTATGTTGTGTTTTCCAGCTATTTTTCTGTAATTGCCTTTTGTTTATATTATAGGACAGGTTTGTAATTCTTATTTTGATAATTTTTTCTCCTTTCTCTCTTTTTGATACTTTGCATGTGTATTCACTTGGAAAAAAATACTTCAGTCTAAATGGTATTAATGCTGAAGGATATATTTTCTTTTGGAGCCATAAAATCTACAATAGATTTCCAAGAATACAATGAGGTTGCTGGCGTTTCAGCGCTTGACTTTGGTTACACAAATAACACTGCAGGGTACCATACAAAAGTTTTTTTCCTTCCCTTTTGCCACTTTTTTGGGATATTAGTTACAAAATCTGTTTAGAGCATAGATGTGAAATTTACAGGACGGGTTAGTAAGTTAATTAGTTAATTTGATTCTCAATGGATATGAGTTATTGCGATTTGCAGAGATAGACTAAAGACTTAAAGAAAAACAATGTTTGTTTTGAGTACTTCTCACGTCATTGAGGCACAAATGTTGTTCCTGCATTAATTATTTTTTTTTATATCGAAATTGAATAAATTTAATTTTCCTTGATATCCAAATGTATTAAAGTAATTTTGATTGAAGTTTGTTTATGTCTATTTTCCAAGATTCATTTTTTGGTTACCAGATATTCTCACTTTGTTTATGGTTTGCTTTTTTTTTAGTTAATTGAAACAGAGAGGCTTTTTTATTCTTTGTGTTTTCAGGACTTCATTCACTCTTTACAAGTCAACCCTGCAATTAGACCTGTAAACGGATCGGGTTTATTGGGTTTGGGTCGGGTTCAACCTAACCCGTTAAGTCAACCCTGCAATTTGATCCTTTTTTTTTTGTGTGAAATTATAATGGAATTGCAAGTCAAGTATATCTTAAGATTCTTGGTTGCATACCCACCTTCCCACAACTATTAGTCTCTTGATTGGATGGATTTTTATAATTTATTGGATCTACGGTTACAATGCTTTTTATAATTTCCTAGATCTATCTTTTTTGTTCGTTCATGATTATGTTGAATGTTTTTCGGATTAAATATGTCTTATTCATGTAATTAAGGCTGGTGCATTCAACTCCCGGGGCATCGCGCGGGCTTATTACTAGTCATGCACTATAGTCAATAGCATTGATCTAAGTTTTGTTTGATAGGGAACATGATTTGTGTAAATGGTTAACCGTTTATAACCGCAGATAATACCCATAACTGTCTATTTAAATTTCGTGGATAAACGGTTATACCCATAACCGTTTATTTATTTATCTAAACAGTTACCTATAATTGTAACTGTGAAATTTAAATGGGCGGATGGTTATAACCAAGGAAGAAAATATCGGTAATATCGGAAATATCGGTAGTCCGAAAACACGGAAATATCGATGGAAATATCGGGATAATATCGATATCGATAAAAATTACATGGAAACCACGGAAATTGTAAGAAAAACTTGGAAATTTTTATTGAAACTTTGCAGGATGTTTATTTAGTCAATTATCTATTAGTTTATCACAAAAAATTGGAAGGAAATGCATTGCATGATGGATTTAACATTATTATCAAGTTGATTATATAGCGAGCTGACAAACATTGTGAGTGTAGAAAATATGTAGTAATTAATGAAAGAAGTCTAAACACACCATAATCATTTATATATAATGAATTAGTACAATATTTTACACTTTATACATTGCATTTTTGGTTCTTCTCTGACAAAATTTGGTCTTCACGTGGAGAAGAAGATAAAGTAAGCAGATTTTTTGGTTCTTCTCTGACAGAATATTTGGTTCTTCTGAGCAAAGTCACTTCCAATTCTTTCATACAAAACTGTGTGCCACACACACACACATCCTCAAAGTTTTTTTCTTTTTCTCTCGGATAACACACACACACACATAACCATACACACACACACACACACACACACACAAAATCATGGTTTTATACAAAACCATGTGCCAAAACTCTCTCGGATAACACACACACACACACATAACCATACACACACACACACACATAACCATACACGTGAACACACACACACACAAAACCATGGTTTTATACAAAACCATGTGTCAAACCGTGTGCCACAAACACACACACACACACACACCCTCAATGTATTTTTTTCTTTCTCTCGGATAACACACACACACTTCTCCCTCATTCCACACACACACACACGCACACACCCTCCATCTACAGAGATCGGAGATCTCTCTTCTCCCAAACACACACACACACACACAGAGATCGGAGATCTCTCTTCTCCATTCTCCGATCTCTCTTCTCCCTTCTCCGATCTCTCTTCTCCCAAACACCCACATACAAAGAGAGATCTCCGATCTCTCTTCTCCCAAACACACACACACACACAGAGATCTCTCGATCTCTCTTCTCCCTTCGCCGTTGATCGTGGCTCTGGCGAAGTCGGAGTTGGCTCAGTCGTCTCTGGCGGTGCGCCGCTGAGCAAGGATCACGTTCAGTCATCTGGTTCGTCTTCGTCTTCGTCAGGTGAGATTCCATTGAAACCCTAAACCCTAAACCGACTTCACATATGTTGAATCGTTTATGCATGCGTGAAATCTGAAGTTTATATGTGAAATTGATGTTAAAATTCGTGTTTTTGCAAGGTTTTTAGGACGAAATCGGCCCGGGAATAGGCACACCGTCTCCGGCGTTCTTCTCCGACGTCGCCTCGGAGTCCGATTGCACCAAACTCAAAAAAATTTCGCCGATATTTCCAAAAAATATCGCGATATTATCGATATTATCGATAATATCGCGATATTTGGCCGAAAACCATTCGGATACCACTTAGAATATCCATCACCCGAAAAACCGATAATATCGGCGATATTACGCCGATATTATCGGCATTTTCTTCCATGGTTATAACCAATGGGCATTTGCCCATCCATAATCTCGATTAGACAGTTCACACACAGCTCCTGCAACAGGAAATGATGTCTTCAACAAGGTCAGAGGAATTTGCCGCACATCTCCGAAAACGTCGCTTAAAACGGAACTTGCAGTGGTTTCCCATGTGAGGATGAAGAGGAAGGCTCCGTTTGTGAGCTTTAGCCAACGACGATGCCTGAATCCCCTGATTCCGTCGTTCTCTGCTACTCCATCATTGTCGTCGATACGTTCATCACAAGCACAAGAGCCAACTTCTCCAACGCACATGGGCGCACGCATGCCCATTGCACTTCAACGACGACGGGGCGCCGAAACAGTGGCCCTGGGAGATCCTGCACCATCAGGTCAAGTCTTACTACACAAGTAGAGATGATGCTGGTGTTCGTCACAAATGGGGCCGACAAGTTCATGGTCTTAAGCCATTCTTCCATTTTCGGCAACGGCGTGCGAAGTGGAAACTGTTGTACACGGGTCGCTCATCCCGACAG